TGTTACATCGGAGGCGCCAGTCACTGCCTCGTGGAGATTGTGTGGGGCCGCTACACCGGATTCGATTTCAAGTTCACGGCCTTCACCTTCTTCGCCTCGTCCGGCAGTGCAATGGATGAGTCCAAGACATACAACCGCGGAAATGCCACCAAGTGGTGAGCGACCATGTTCCATATGCCGCGCCATGGTTACTTCCGTGGCAATTAGGTAGTTAGTCAGTTGCTTCGCTTCACTTTGCTTTGATTTTCTTCTGCTGTTGCAAATTTGAGGCCCCCTTATTTCCACATGCTTTCAACCCTCATCCCTCCCTACTCCCCCTACCGTTGCCATACCTTGACTGCTGCTGCTCTCAGGATGTTCACTACCAATGAGTTGAGAGCGTCTGTGAAAAGCATGATGTGTAAGTCTGCAACGCTGGCCCCGAAGTGACGAGCAAAGTGTGTGTCACACGTGTGACTTGCAAGGTTGTGCCACGTGCGTGACTTGATAGGTGTCAAATGCATGCCCATGATGGTAAGGCCGGTGCACGTGCCCGCCCGCACTGCACTATATTGCACTGCACCATGCTTCACAACCCCCACTACTGGGGCTCGCACCCAGCAACTCTCAGCGCGATGCTATGTGCGAATCAAGAAGCTGGGGTAGGGGGGGGAGAAGGCAAGGTGGGTGTAACGCCTGCGAGCTCACACCAAGGTTGAAAGTTGCCTGCACTTGTGAAGAGCCCCAATTTTGGCAAAATGGTCTAGCGGGGCGATATAGGTGGGGAGGTGGGGAGCGGGCTTGCTGTGTACTAGGGGGGGACTGCTGCAACGATGGCCCCTAGGCTTGTAGCTGCTGCATGCCATTGCCACGCCAGGTGAGAGGGAATAGGGAAGCAATGGGTGAAGGGGGGAGGGGAGGTGAGGGAGAGGGTGTGGGGGGTATGAAAGGGTCAGTGGTGGGAGCCAATGCCCTCTTTCTTGATAGTTGTGTCTTGGAAATCCTTTTGTTGCATCGCAATTTTTTGCTCACCCGTAGGCGAGGAATGATGCTTCCGTACCTTCTGGACTGGTAGCTGCCAAATGTCATCGCCAAGCCAGGTAAGGGGGAATAGGACGGCGGGTGGGAGAGAGGGTCCGTGGCCCCACGTCTGGCAGCAACTGCGTGTCAACGCCGCACAAGGTGCACTGGCGGAGGTAGGGGTGCCGCTCAGTTCCCCTCAAGGCGAAAGGGTGGGGGATGGTTGAGAAGGGAGAAGGGGCATTCATTGGGGGCCGCACTGGGGTGACCACAGCTGCTCTTCCTGTGCTAGCAGTGGCAGGCAACTCAAACGGCGTCACTCTAGGTATTTGGGTGGGAGGTGGGGTGGGTGGTGTTGGGGGGAAGTGGGGAAGGTGGGGGTGTGAGGGAGAGGAGGGAGGATGGGTAGGAGGAACCCCCCCTTCTGTTATGAGAGATTTAGGAAGGAAGAGGGTGTCAGAGGTTCACTGGAGGTCACCGATTGATCCTAGGGAAGGGTTAGAGGCTGTCTGGGGGGTTATGGGCGCACTCACCCGCTACACAAACAAGCCCTTTTATCCCAGTAGTTAGTGGCTGAAATTCTGACAAGGTATCAGTATGAAGGTCTCGGGCTCGAATCCCAATGTGTGCACCTTGGGCATCCTAGTGTGAAGGGGTGTCAGAGGTCCACTGGAGATCCCCGATTGATCCTAGGGAAGGGTTAAAGGCACGTTGGCCTGGTGGGGGGTTATGGGCGCACTCACCCGCTTCATACACAAGCCCTTTTATCCCAGTGGTTCGTGGCTAGGATTCTGACAGAGGGGACTACTAGGAAGCAGGGAGGAAAGGGATGGAATAGGGAGAAAAGGGGGATGTTGTAGGGGGTGGGCATGATTAGTGCATCGTGAGGGATGCGACCCCGAATGGCCGTGGGTGGCCAAGAGTTGCATATGAGGGGTCGGTCGAATCGCCAAGGAACGATAAGCTACGGGGGGACACACATCGTTTGTGATTCATTCTCCCCACCCCCCTGCACGAATGTGCAGGCCAGCGCAACCTCCTGTACCGTATCACCCCGGATAGTAGCGCCGTCCTATTAAAAGCGTCGGCCTTCTATCTGGAGCATGGCGCTTATGGCCAGTCCTCAATTATAAGCGCCTCCCCTGTAAAGTCGTGATCTATTATAAGCGCATGTATAATTTTATTTTTAAATCCCGATTACAACGATAACGATTTCCCAATTTTGCAGCGAGGCATTTTGTGTTTTCACTGCGTTTGACTCTCGCGGACTTCATAGGTTGTGCGTAAAGTCACGACGAGCTGGCACGACTGAAAAGTGGCGTGCCAGAGCTCTTTGCACCGTCAGAAAATCGCCCTTACGCGATTCTGATTTCGGACACTAAAATTTTTCGATTCGATTGAAATCGCGAGACAAAGATGTGCAGTTTGATGTGTTTAAAATGTATTTCTTTATCTGTCATTTTTATATGCGCATGCGCTTATGCCCAAAACTCATTTAGAAGCGCCCCCCCAAAGAAAACCGATTTTATTATAAGCGCACCTGCGCTACTATCCGGGAGGATATGGTATATCTACAGCAAACACATATTTCAGTCGATAATTGTGCGTTCTTTTCTCACTCCATCCTTTCTGACCCCGCAGTTTGAAGAGCTGATGGGTTAGGCAGGGCAGAATGTTCCGCCTCAGGCCTTCCATGGGTGTTGCCGTAGCAAGAGCTGTCAAAACATATTCATATGTTCTTAGTTCTGCTAGGCTATAGTGAGGTGCTCAGTATAGAGTACAACCCTAGTTAGGGTTTCCTACTTCTACCCCATTGTCTCGTAGTTGATCCATCCCTGCATAGTCTATCTTCTAACATGGTTTCAGAGCAGGTCCATCCGTAGGACCACTCGTTTAGGGCCCACCGTTAGTTCCGTTCTGCCCGTTTTCCTGCCCGAACGCGCCCCTTGGCTGGCCGTTGTTCCTGCCCAAATCGCGCCTCTAGATAGCCGTTTTTCCTGCCCAAATCGCGCCCCTAGGAGAGCCGTTTTCCTGCACGAATCGTGCCCCTAGGCGAGCCGTGTTCCTTCCCGAACCGCGCCTCTAGATAGGCCGTTTTTTTCCTGCCCAAATCGCTCTCCTAGGCAGGCCGCTTTTCCTGCCCGAATCGCGCCCCTAGGCGAGCCGTTTTCTCTGCCCGAATCGCGCCCCTAGGCGAGCCTTTTTCCCAGCCTAAATCGCGCCCCTAGACGACGCTTTTCCCGAGCGCCCTACAGCCCGCGCGCCCATGCACCCTGCAGCTCTGCAGCCAGTGCGCTGCCCTGCCCTGCAGCTCGCGCGCTGCCATTCCCTGCAGCCCACGCGTTGCCCTGCCTTGCAGCTCGCACGCAGCCCTGCCCTGCAGCTCGCGCGCTGCCCTCACCTGCAGCCCACGCGCTGCTCTGCCCTGCAGCCTGCGCGCCGCCCTGCCCTGCAGCCCGCGCGCTGCCCTGCCCTGCAGCCTGCGCACTGCCCTGCCCTGCAGCCCGCGCGCTGCCCTGCCCTGCAGCCCGCGCGCTGCCCTGCCCTGCAGCTTGCACGCTGCGCTGCCCTGCCTGCGCAGCCCTGCAGCCCGCTCACTGCCCTGCCCTGCAGCCCGCGCGCTGCCCTGCCCTGCAGCCTGCATGCTGCGCTGCCCTGCCCGCGCGCTGCCCTGCAGCGTGCGCACTGCCCTGCCCTGCAGCCCACGCACCACCCTGCCCAGTAGCCCGCACGCTTCCCTGCCCTACAGCCTGTGCGCTACCCTTCTACTGCAGCGACTACCGCTACTGCTACAGTTGCAGCTACAGCAGTTACTTCTGACGCCCTTGCGCTACTGTTTCTGACTGCCACTGCCTGTCATGGCCACTATCACGGTAGTAGCAGCGGTTGTCGGTAGTCAACAGCAGCTGCCTCACCCGGATACTCTATCGCCGCAGCAGCTTTGTGAGTGGGTTGTTCAGTGAGGCCGTCATGGTGGTGGTGGATATGATCCTCGAGGTACTGGACAGCAGCGACAGCAGAGTCAGTCGGAGACCCCCCTTTCCGCAGCAGCCTCGAGAGTGGTTTTCTCAGCGACGTGTCTCTGGTACTGTCGGTTCTGCTCCTCTAGGTACTAGTGAGTCTGCTGCCGCTCTAGGTGCTAGTGAGTCTGCTGCCACAAGTGCTAGTGAGTCTGCTACTAGTGCGTCTACTGCCTCAGCTGAGGCCTTTGACACTTTCACACTTGAACCTGGTGTGCCACGTTGCTTCTTTCGTGATTGCACCACCGTCACACCACTCGCTGCACCGTCCCGGTCTCCCTGGTTGACCCCTCTGGGGGTCCTGTCATTGTACGGGACTCCACTGTCCTCCCGTGTCCAGCAATCCCCTCCGGCTCTCTTTCAGGTCTCCACCTCCCCTCGTTCTCGACGAACCTGGTGAGCAACGCAGTCCTTCAGGATGCTTGGGTTGATACCTTTACCCCTGGAGGGCAGCGTGTGGCAATCTGTACGTGCTCTCGGGCTGGATGTCGCCTTGCTACATTCACACGGCAACCTGGGTCCAGTCTTTACACCCTGACCACTACGTCTGCACAGGTGGCTGCGTCAGGTCAGGTGGCTGCGTCGAATCAGCTGTCTGCGTCCGGTCAGTTCGCTGTGTCGTGCTCGTGCCTGGTACTCTCGCACCAGACTCTCCTCTGGCACCACTGACTCGATCACCCCTCTCTGCCGCGTCTACGCAGCATGCGCTCCCGTCTCCTCGTTTCTGGCCTTCCCAGGTCCCTCCCCCCCCTCCTGCGCTCGCTTCCTCCCCCCCCCCCTCGTGCCTTCCCTGCGTCGAGGGGCGGCAGCGCGCCGCTCCTCACTCCTCGTTTCCTCCGACCTCTACTCCTTTGCAGACTCTCCACATGGACGTGTGGGGCCCGGCCCCCGTCGGTGGGACGAACCAGGAGCGCTACTTCCTGCTGGTCATTGACGTCTACTCGCGCTACACCACGGTCTTCCCCTTGCACAGCAAGGCGGATGTCCGGGGTTTTGATCCCCTGGATCCGCGCTACTCGTCACCAGCTGCGCGAGCGGTTTCGGCGGGACCTTCCAGTCCTGCGTCTGCACTCTGACAGGGGCGGTGAGTTCTCTTCCGGCCTCCTTGCGGAGTTCTGTCGAGACGAGGGCATCCTCCAGTCGTTCACACTTCCGGCCTCTCCGCAGCAGAATGGGATTGCTCATTGGCCTCACATTGGCTTGATCATGGAGGTTGCTCATGCCTCCATGATCCATGCGGCTGCTCCCCATTTTCTGTGGTCGTTTGCGGTCCGATACGCCGCGCATCAGCTCAACCTCTGGCCCCGTGTCTCTTTGCCAGAGACCTCGCCCTCACTCTGTTGGACGGGAGAGGTTGGCGATGCGTCAGCGTTTCAGGTCTGGGGCGCGCTCTCCTTCGTTCGTGATACCACCGCGAGCAAGCTCTCTCCTCGCAGTCTCCGCTGCGCCTCCCTGGGCTTCCTCGCTGACACCCCGCCGTGGCAGTTTTACCACCCTGCCTCGCGCCGTGTCCTGTCCTCTCAGGACGTCACCTTTGACGAGTCTGTTTGTTTCTACAGGCTCCACCCGTACGCGTCCCACCCAGTCCCCCTGGCGCCTCTCTTCCTGGTGCCAGTTCCCCCCCCCGGTAGACCCCCTCCCCCCCACAGGGTCCTGCTCCCTCAGGTGTGTCTCAGGTAGACCCACCCCCCTTGGTTGAGCCTATGGAGATCTCGTCTGACTCCTTTGGCGCCGCTGAGGGGGGTGACCCCGCCGTTGACGACACGGCGGCCACTCGTCGCTCTCCACACTTGGAGACCCCTCCTGGTTTTCCGCCTCGGCCGTCTTCGCCGCCTCTGCAGCCTGTCGCTGTGGAGACTGGTGCTACTGGGGGTGGTGCCACTTGGGGTGAGGACTCTGGGGGTGCTGAGACTGGGGGTGAGGGTTCTGGAGGTGCTGAGACTGGGGGTGCTGCGAGTCCTTATGGTGGTGGGGCTGTGGGTGCTCCTATTGTAGGTCCTGGCGTTGGACAACAGCAGCCGCCTAGTCGACTCGAGACACCCTCACCGCAGCAGCTTCGTGAATGGGTCGTTCGGCGAGGCCGCTCTGGGGCTGGCGCTTGGAGTTTCCTAGACGGGTACTGGAGCTGCTGGTGCTGGAGGTGCTGCTGGAGCTGCTGGTGCTGCTGGTGCTGCTGGAGGTGCTGCTGGTGCTGGAGGTGCTGCTGGTGCTGGTGCTGCTGGAGGTACTGGAGCTGCTGGTGCTGGAGGTACTGGAGCTGCTGGTACTAGAGGTGCCTGCTAGAGGTGCTGGAGCTGCTGGTGCTGGAGGTGCTAGAGCTGGAGGTCCCAGAGGTATTGAAGCTGCTGGCGCTAGAGGTACTGGAGCTGCTGTTACTGGAGGTGCTGGCGTTGGAGGTGCTGGTGCTACTGGAGCTGGAGGTACTAGAGGCGCTGGAGCTGCTACTGCTGCTGGTACTGGTGGTGCTGCTGGAGCTGGAGACCCTGGAGCTGGTGCTGCTGGAGCTGGAGGTACTGGAGGCGTTGGAGGTGCTGGTGCTGCTGGTACTGGAGGTGCTGCTGGAGTTGGAGGCGCTGGAGGTGCTGGTGCTGCTGGAGCTGGTGGTACTGGAGGTGCTGGAGGTGCTGGAGCTGCTGACGGTACGGGTAATGCCCCGCGCCGACCGTTTTTCTACCCGCAGCCGCAGTCGTCCTTATCATCGCCTGGCTCGGCACTTCGTCAGGTTCTTAGTCTTCCGTCTTCCACTGGCCTTACTCCTCCCTTACTGTATCCACCGCCTGACCCGTCTCATACACAGTTACCGTCAGACTCCCCACTGACTACCTGCTCCTTCTCCTTACACTGAGCAGCCGGACTCCCTGACAGCGCGCCGTGAGCCTGTGTCTCGTCCTGCCTCCCCCGTTTGCACTGTTCGCCGTACTTGTCGTGTTCCTCGTCCTCTTCCTCCACCAGTCCCCGGCACTCACACTATGGCCCTTCGTCCTTCCTCTCTTCTACAGCGTGTTGCCCTGCCGTCTCCTCCAGCGTCCTCTCTTCCTGACATTCCCGACCCTCCGTCTGACCTTGCTCGTGCTGCTAGTCCCACTGTCACGCGTCTTCTCGCTACTGTTGTCACTGACCCTTCCTTTGAGTCTACTGTTGCGTCTGCCTTAGTTGCTGAGCTTGTTGACTTTGCTGCTGCGTGTCGTCTTGACTACGCCACGAGTCTTGTCACTTAGTCTGAGTCTGTCTGTCCTCCGTCCGTCGGGGTGAGTGTGCTCTTGGCACGGACGTCCTTGAGGAAAGGCAGTTTGGCTGTCTTGCGGTCGTTTTACCTCGCCTTGCATCCATGCTAGTTTGCCCTGAGGGAGACCCGGATGCACTTGACATCCCTACCCCGCGCACTTACGCTGAGGCGATCGCGGGTGAGTACTCCTCTCAGTGGCAGACAGCCATGGACGCGGAGATGGCTTCCTGGAAGTCCATAGGCACCTACGACGATGAGGTTCCCCCTCCTCGTGCGAATATAGTCAATAGCATGTGGATCTTTAGAGTGAAGCGGCCGCCGAGTTCTCCGCCTGTCTTCAAGGCTCATTACGTTGCACGAGGCTTCAGTCAGCGACAGGGGGTCGACTTCTTCATACCTTCTCCCCCACCCCAAAGATGACTACTCTTCGGGTGTTGCTGCACGTTGCAGCACAGCGTGACTACGAGCTGCACTCCCTCGACTTCTCCACAGCTTTCTTGCAGGGCAGCCTTCACGAGGAGATCTGGCTGCGCCTCCCACCTGGCTTTACTGGATCATTTCCTGCAAGTACCCAGTGGCACCTCTGGCGGCCGGTCTACGGTCTCCGCCAGGCGCCTCGCGAGTGACATGACACACTGAGGATGACACTTGCGGCTCTTGGGTTTGCTCCTTCAACTGCTGACCCGTCGCTGTTTCTACTCACCGACACTTCTCTGCCACTGTTTTACATCCTTGTGTACGTCGACGACTTGGTTTTTGCTACTGCTGACACTGAGGCACTGACCCTCGTGAAGTCGGAGCTGTAGAAGAGACACACCTGCACTGACCTGGGTGAACTGCGTAGCTATCTTGGCTTGCAGATCACCCGAGACAGAGCACGGCGCACCATCACCCTGACTCAGTCACACATGGTGCACCAGGTCCTTCAGCGCTTCGGCTTTCAGTTCTCCTCGCCACAGCCCACTCCTCTGCCTACAGGTCACTCGCTCTCAGCTCCACCTTCGGACGAGTCCGTAGAGCCGAGTGGCCCGTATCCAGAGCTTGTGGGTTGCCTCATGTACCTGATGACGTGCACACGACCTGACCTCGCGTACCCTCTCAGCCTCCTGGCTCGCTACGTGGCTCCCGGTAGACACCGAAAGGTGCACATGGATGCTGCTAAGAGGGTACTGCGTTACTTGTGCAGTACGTCGGGCATGGGGCTCGTGTTTGGAGGACGGGGTCGAGTTGTACTCGCAGGACACTCCGACGCTTCTTGGACTGACGACCAGGCGACTCAGCGGTCGTCACAGGGTTACACTTGCGGAGATAACTCTGTCAACGAGAGCTAGACTACGGGCTAGGCACGGGGTAGGAGTGATCTCTGCGTTCGTTCCTTAGTCGTTTGCCTGTGTTCACACTACTTGCGCATTCACGGGGAAAATTGGCAAGAGTTTCACTAGCAAAAGTTCACAACAATGAGGTTCAGAATGATGGCAACAACATTGGCATGCAAGGCTACATCAGAGCTAGCACAGCTGCTGGTCGACTTCCAGCGCAGCATGGTCGACCGCGGTCCAGCGCAGCAGAGCTCGCACCGCTCCAGCGCAGCAAAGTAGCGGCTTGCCAACGTTGCAAGTCCGCGGTGCGCCAACGCTGCAGCAAGTCGGCTGCACAGCGTTGCATCCGCAGCTAAGTGGTGCTCCACACCTCGTCACGAGCACAGCGCAGAGGCCTAGCAGAATCCACGCCAGCGACTACGCCCACCAGCCACGTCGACCTCGGGATACCACCCCCGAGGTCACCTTCGCAGAAACCACCCTTTCGCACACGTCGCCCGGGTATCCCGGACGACCGGCTACACCAAACCCGGCGTCCCAGGGTCGGCGTCCTGGCGTCCAGGTCGGCGTCCACTCGCCCAGGACGCCGTCCAGGCGCCCAGGTCGGCGTCCAGGCGCCCGGGACGCCGAGCAGACGCCCAGGTCGTCGTCCAGCCTCGCAGGACGCCTTCCGGGCGTCCAGGACGCCGAGCAGACGCCCAGGACGCCGCCCAGACGCCAAGGACGGCGTCCACCTGTTCGGCGCCCTCCAGCCAGGCGCCCCCCAGCTCAACGCCCTTGCAGTGGCCCCCGTACCCACTGCTGCAGGTCGGCTGCATCCCCCGCACACCCGACCACGAGATCGGCTCCGCCCAAGCGAGGACGGGGCCAAACACAACTCCCGTTGACACTCCCCTGCCGCGTTCACACTTGGGCCCCCAGCCCACACGGCAGCACTGCTCGGAGAATAGCTCGGCGGCGTGCACACAACACACAGCACGCCGGACACCGCACCAGCCATGCAAGAGGGCATGGCACCTACTGCTGCACGTCGTTGTCGCCGTCGCCGACTTCGGCCAGGCGCACTTGGCCGATCGCGACGGAGCACCGGTTGAAGGCCGGGTAGTGCAGCGCCTTTGTCAGGAAGTCGGCCGGCTGCTCGGTGGTCGAGATGTACCTCAACGCGAACTTCCCGCGCTTCACCATGTGCTGCAGCCACGCCTGTCATCGCTCCATGTGCTTGAGGTTGCCCGTCAACCCCATGCCCCCGGCGACTGTGATGGCCGACTTGTTGTCCACCCGAAGGACAGTCGGCTTCGCGGATTCCAGCTGCCGGAACTCTGCGAGGAGGAAGCAAAGTCGGCGTCCTTCCTTCCCGACTTCGGTTGCCGCCACGTACTCCGACTCGGTCGACGAGAGCGTCGCGCACTTGATGCGCTGGCTCGACCAGGAGACTGCGGCCCCTCCATAGACGAACACGTAGCCGCCCGTGCTCGTCCGGTTCTGCTTGTCGCCGGCGTCGTCGGCGTCCACGTAGCCGACCAGCTCCAGCGACTCCGGACCACCGCCGAACTCCAAGGCGGTGTCGCGCGTGTTGGCGAGGTAGGCGAGGCAGCGGTCGACCTCGCGCCAGTGCTGGTCGCTCCTCACCGTGAGGCCGCTCCCCAGCTTGCTGCAGGCGAAGGCAATGTCCGGCCTCGTCGTCGTCGCTGCGAACTGCAGCGAGCCGACCTTCTGCCGATACTCCTCCTCCTGGCGCTCCTGTGCCTCCTCGTCGTCGAACGTCAGCTCGGCGTAGGCGTCGACTGAGACCGGCGTCTTTGGGGTCCGACCGCCCTGCTCCTCGTCGATGAAACGCCTACGCAGCTTGTCGGCGTAGCTCTGCTGGTGCAGCCACAGCTTCCTCGCCGGCTTGTTGCGCACGATCTCCAGCCCAAGGTACTTCTGCACCGGCGAGATCTCCCGCAGCTCGAAGGCGGCCTCCAGCAGCGCCTTCAACTCCTTTAGCATCGCGGCGCTGCTGTTGGCGGCGAGCAGGTCGTCGACGTAGACCAACACCCAGCAGGCCACACCGTCGTCGCCGACCTTGAAGTAGAGAGCTTCGTCGACCTGGCTCTTCTTCCACCCGGCGCCGACCAGCACGTCGTTGAGCGCCTTGTACCGCAAAAGCGGCGACTGCTTCAGCCCGTAAAGGCTCTTCAGCAGCTTGCACACCCGGCCGGTCCCGTCGTTGAAGTAGTCCGGCTGGTACATGTAGAGCACGCGGTCGAGCTTGCTCTGCAGGAAGGCGTTCTTCATGTCCAGCTGCATCAGGTTGAGGTCGAGGACGGCGACGATGCTGAGGAAGATCCTCAGCGTGACGTAGCTGCTCACCGGCGCGTACGTCTCGTCGTAGTCGGCGCCATACACCTGCGTGAAGCCTTTCACGACCAGCCTCGCCTTATCGCGCTCGACGGTGTCGTCGGTGCGATACTTCGTAGTCAGCACCCACCGGTTCTTCATGATGTTGACGCCGGGAAGCCGCTCAACGAGCTCCCACGTGTTGTTCGCGATGAGGCTCCGTATCTCCTCGTCCATGGCGGCCTTCACTGCCTTGCCCTTCCAGCTCGCCAACGCCTCCTTCACCGTCATCGTGGAGATGTCCCAACGGTGCTCGGGGTCGGCGTGCATATCAAGGTCGAGATCCGGCAGGTCCTCATCCTCCTCGGCGTCGTCGTACGCCAGGTCGTCGTTGTCGATGTCATACGCCGTGGTGAAGGCGGCCGGGACGAAGAAGTCGGGCGACCTCCGAATTCGGCCTGTACGCTGTGGTCCAGGCTTGACCTCCACCACATCACTGTCAGTGGACTGCCCGGCGTCCGACTGCTCCCCTTCAGCTTCGCCGGCTTCACAGTCCTCGGCGTCCTACTGCACCAAAGCCGGCGTCTCAGCAGACTGCTCCCCTATTGTCGGCTCCCCCACTGACATCTCCGTTGCTGAGAACTTCCCTGTCGGCTCCATCGTCCTCTGCTCCCCTGTCGGCAGCTTCCCTACAGCCGCCCCCTTTGGCAGCATGGGCTCCTCGGCCTGCTGCTCTGCATCCACGCCGACTTGCTTGACGCCTCGTCGGCCACTGGCGATGCCCTTGGTCGGCGCCACAGGCGACGCCCCACTGCTCCCCTCATCGCCGGAGGCCGACGTCGGTGTCAGCGCGTGCGGAACGGCGACGGGAGGAGGAACGGCCTCCTCGGCGTCCTCATCAGCAAGCTCACCGACCTCGGCGAGCAGAGGGAGTGTCGCGGTGGAGGTGTCCGGCGGCGAGGTAGCCGGCCGCCGCCCCAACGTCTGCCCGTGCATCGACTTCCACACTTCCCGTGACATGGTTTCGTAGAACATCACGTCGGACGTGGTGACCACCCAGTCGTCGGTGAGGTCGAGGAGCTCCCAGCCCTTGCTCTCCTCCGACACACTGAGGTGAAGACCCCACTGGGCCTTTGGCTTCAGTTTTCCACCACGCTGCTGCTCGGGGACCAGGAACTGCGCCATGCAGCCCCACACGCGTGCCAGCGACAAGTCGGGCTTCTTCCCGGTGAGCAACTGGTACGGCGTCGTCTCCGGCGACAGCGACGAGCGCTCCAGGCAGTTCTGTACCCAGACGGCCTGGCGCAGGGCGAGGTGCCACCAGCGGTGCTGTACGCCCATGTGCAACGGCATC